CCCATTATTTCAACTTTTTTTATACTCACCTTGAAATCAGTAGTTGACCTTGCCTCAGTAAAAATTTTGTTACATATTTCTGAGTGGTTTATTTTTTATTGAATCAATAAGGCAATATTAGTACACTTAAATTTATGACGCTGCCAAACGGGGCCTAACTTCATGATAATATGTCCTCAACCTGTATAGAAGACAGGGAGTAATCAGTGAGGAATGTTACATCTACTGCTGATTCTTCCTTATAAGAGGGCATCCAAGATCAGTCTAAGACTTGCAGACTAATAGGCATCCATTTTGAGATCTTGTATAGTCAAATGGGTTTGTGGTTTCTCATACAATGAGATATATTCACAACAAGACTGGATAAAAATTGGATTACACATGAGGGCCAGAATTATTTGAGAGGGGATTTCTTTTGGCTAGAGGTTGAAGTAGATATAAATTAATCTGTAAAGTAAATCCATTTAGACCTGAAGGAAGTTGGGTTGTAAGGTTATTTCTGTAAAAACACTAAGAACACTGTACAGTATTGTTTTATTTTATTCTACAAGAGTTCAATTGGGAATAATCAGTGAGGGAGGAGCTCCTTAAATATTCTACAGGAGGTCCAGGAGGGAAGAGGGATGTTATAAGGAAAGATGAGACAAAATCAGGGTATCTGTAGGGAGAACCTGTGGCCTACAGTGGCGCGCGGCATTGTACTGTACAAGGCCACCCGCAAATGTTGATTAGGTCGTGCGGGGTTAATCCTCACTCCTGAAGGGGGTCCAGCACCTGTAAAGAATACATATTTGGAGTCTACAAGGTGTGTAGATTCCAAATCTAAAACGGCGACCAAGTTGGTCCAGCCAATTTTCTTTTTTTTTTCACTGGACCATTCGGTCACAGGTCAAATATGGGGGCCTAAGTACATAAGTATGGGATAGGCTGATACTATAAACCCATACTTATATGGCTATATGTCAGCCTAAGCCCATACACATAAGCTTAAAGCCTATGTAGATGGTCAAAAGTGCATCGGGTGGACTGATTACAGCATCGTGGATGTCAGATTGACGTCTCAACCCCCCAGAAATTAATAAAAAAACTCAGATTTTTTCAAATTTTGGGTCCCGACCATTCGGACATCCCAAAATCCTATACAGTACAATGCCGCGCGCCACTGTATTACTCATGGGAGGATCCACCTTTCAGTAGCTGTGCATGCAGTAAAGCACCTCAAGGCATGTTGTCATGCATGCATTGCATATGAATGAATAAATTGTCAGATCATGGGCATGAGAACAGTTACTGTTGATTGTCTGTGCAGTTTCTGTGCATGCAGCATGAGTCTTGATGCCACGGGTAAGATGTTGAAATAGACACCCTGGAGACAATGTAGTTGGAAAGGATATGTGTCATTTCACTGAGAGAAAGAGAAAAGAGGAAAAGAAGAAAGACTCACCTGGAGACAATGTAGTTGGAAAGGATGAAGAAAAAGAGATCCTTTCCAACTCAGTTGTCTCCAGTATAAGAGAGAAATGAAAACACAATGAATGTCACGAAGTGTGACATGTGAGAAATGAAAAAGCGGAAGAAGCACGAAACAGTAGCGCTATGTAAAGTACACTACATAGATAGCTCAACATAAGACAAGTCTGCCTTGCATAATTGTAACTCTGCATTTGAATAGGGGCTTATTCCCATGAGATCTGTGGTTCTGTTGTATATGCTTTGAATGAGCCAACAAAGTTAACTGATGGCAAAAAACTGGGTATGCTTCTGGGTCTCCTGGAAATCAATGCACATCCTATTTTCACTGTATAGGCTCCTTGAATATTATATTCAAGCTGCAAAAGCCAAACAGGGTGCTGCTGGGAAAACCTCTGGTAAATATCATCCAGTGATGCCACAAGTATTTCACAATCAATTTTTCTCATGAAATAGATCAAGGGATATCATGAATATCATTTCAGGTTATATGTTTTGATTAATATGTGTAACCAGTTTTATTACTGATATTTGAAGCATATTCATGAACAAAGATAAATAAGTAAATTATTAACAACACTCCTTTACACTACATCTTCTAGTATTCATTGTAAGGTTGTTGTAATTTGAATTGTAGTTACTTGGTACTTGTCATGTATGTACTGTAAAATTTATTCTTTTGCTGACACTTTGAGTGCTGGAATTACAACCCTCCGGTGTGGTAGTCAAAAATGTGAAAATTCAAACTTTTTTCTTTTCTTTTCTTATATATATATTTTCTTCATATTATCACCTAATTTCTCTCAGAAATGACACCATACGGCTCAAGAACTGGACTATACGGACAAATTCACCCTTGGTCACCTTGGAGGCGTCACTGGAACACACCTGGATCAACTCTTACCCAACAATGGACAACATATCACAAGGATTTCACTCATCACTACATGTCACCAATCCCAATTACAACTCTCAAGCTACACAGACACCCTCAGTACAGTACAACACACTCGTTTACATACACACTCATTTACATACATCTACACTCTTTACATTTCACTTCTACATATTACATCATACCTGCAGCCTAAATTAGTGTATTTTCCTTGCATGACAGCCACAGCTTACACAACCACACTCACTTGTAAACACATCAGAACCTGACCAATCAGAATCACTCATTCAGCTGTTTGGATCACCACTTCAACTCTTGTACATGTCTGACCAATCACATTCACTCATTCAACTTATGTATGTAGCTAAAATACCTCATGTAATAGCCCAGGCCAGCCAAAATCACTCATTACTGGCTGCCCTGGAGCTAAATTCCCTCACTATTTTCCATATAAGGAGGCTCTCCTCCCAGTTGTTGTCTCCTCAGTGTATTATTCATCAGTCACAGTCAAGTAACACTCAAGAAATATTTGACCACCTTTACACAAACACTTTAAAGTGCCAACCAAAAACAAATCAACAACTCTTCATCACACAACTCATTCCTGAACTTTACCCTATCACTTGATTAAAACTTGCCAAGCTAAGCTTGGTGGGTCTTGTTATCTGATAGTATAGAAGGGCAGAGCTTTCACTCCATCATCCCCTTCTCAATTCAGCAAAAAGGGTCTTACAACCACTTTTTGAGTCTTACACCGGATACCTGGGATGTTTTATTATCTCAAACTTGCTTTGTAGATGGGAAACATCCCCCAGCCACCACTCTTCTGCCCATTGTAATCCAATCCAAGTTCTGCTTGTTGCGGTTGCCTTTCAGGAAGTCCCTTCCTGGCCCCCTATTCCCCCCCAGGATTTCAAGTTTCTTGAAAAAAATACATGGATGACTTCCTGTAAACATTTACAACCCTCACAGAATTTGATTTAACTTTAAGTTCTTGATTTTTGGCAAAGAAAAGCAGTATTTTCAAAACCCCTGTATGAATGGCCCCATGTGAGCTGGTCATGGTTTTGATTAGTGTGTTTATTTAGAACTGAGAGAAGTCTAAAAAACAATATAAATTGCAAGAGGAAGTTTTCCAATTACAATTTGCCTAAATCTGACACCCCCTATTATTGGAAATTCAAATACCTTATACCACAAAAAAACTTCTTTGATGCTTTCAGAGGGGTTCAATTTTTTAGAATTGAATCGGAACTAGGCCACTACGCTGCAAGGTGCTTTTTGTGAAAAACAATTGTCTTGTAGCAGCAATTTTTTGCGCACAAAACATGTATATAGTTTTAGCATCATGTTTGCAATTTTCTGCTACATTGGGTTACAGGCAACGGTGGGCCAGCTACGCTAACCATAGCGTTAGCATAGCGTAGTGTAGCGATTTTTCGCTACAATTTAGCGTAGTGTTAGCGCTTGTTTCTTTTTTTGCGCTAACGCTACGCGCATGGGGCGAAAATGTGCGCTAACGTTTAGCGTAGCGTTAGCGCGATTCCCCCCATCTGCGCTAACGCTACACGCACAGGCCGCCAAAAACTGCCCGCTACGCTGAGTTACGGTCGTTTTTAGCGGTTTTTTGCCGCTAAAAACGCTGTAGCGTAGCGTAACGCAGCGTAGCGGCGCCAGCGGCGCGCTAACACTACACCAAAAAAAGGTTAGTGTTAGCGCCGCTACAAATTAGAGTAGCGCAGCGGCCGTAGCGGCGCGCTAACACTACACAAAAAAAAAATGGCGCCGCTACGCTAACGCTACATGGGCCCGTAGCGGCCCACCGCTGTTACAGGCCACTATGGTTCCAAAATGCTGATAATTGGCACATTAGCACAGTTTGGAGGGCTATGTTCATGGTGTTAGCACAGACTGGGTGTAATTCCCCTGTGCTTTACTCAATTTTAGCCAAATTCCACTATTTTGCACCACCAGTAGCATAACTGAACCAGCTCAATGAATTGTGATGTGTTGCAAGGATTGAACCAATTTCTTCTGGTAAAAATGAATTATCACATAATCATGGTGTAGGGTATTGTGAACCCCAGTTGCTAAATAAGGTGATAGTATATTTAAGGAGCAAAAATTGGTGGTGATGGAGAGGACCCCAGCAAGTTTCCCAATAGGGGGTTTTGGAAAAGGTATATTGGAAAAAATCCCAAAAACCTACTCTTGAAAAAACTTGAAAAAGGTATGGATTAGTATTTTGGACCAGAAACACACTCTTGAAATCACTCATGTTACGTATGTGAAGCTGGTCAATACCAGTAAAATCTGGAATTTGGATCCCAAATTTTGGGGGATTTTGGCCTAAGAATACTCTTGAAAAAGTATGAATTTCCAAAAAAAAAAACAGGTATGAATTTTGCCTAAATCCGGACTTTTTCAACAACCCCCTCTTGGGGGGCTTGTTGGGGTACTTGTGGGAGTCATGCCGGCCAGAAAAAAAGAGGATGATTGAGAAAAAATTCCAATTGAGAATCAATCATTAATAAAATGAATAAGTTAGAACTAATTAAAACAACTTCATGTTTGTACATAAAGAAACATTTCTTCTTTTTTTTTTTTTGAAAGAAAGAAATTAAGCAATAATATATTAAAACGATAATTTGAAGAAAGAGAGGAAAGTTTTACCTACATACAAGAGCCCAAGAAGAACAAAAAATAAAAATATAGGAAATCCTTCTTACAAAAAAAGATTGTCAGAAATTAAAAGGGAAAAAGAAGTATGATGCCTGGAAAGGAGAAGTCTTTCACAAGAAAACAATGAAGGAAAAAAAGCAATCAAACAGATTGTTTTTCCAACTTAAAAGTTGTAGAGGGTTGATGCTTTTGGGGTAGTTGATGTTTAGGCGGAAGCATTTCATCCTGTATCAAGCATCAAATCAAAAGACATAAGCTATAACCACCCAGCAAAGATGAGAACAAAATGAAGTATGCAAGAGCCGGAACTGACGTTTTTGATTCGAAATAGTAGTAAAGGAATCAGACAAAACAAGCCCAAAGCCAGTATGCTCCAAGAAGAAATAAAGATTGCATGATATGAGGCTTGGTTGGAGTCGATTCTAAAGATCACTGCGGCACCCGCCGATTGGATCCCTTGAACAAGAATTCATGCACAAGGTTAGAAACCCCATAACTCTCCTTTCTTCTTTTTTAGAAGCGTGAAAGAATGCAGTTCTGATATCTACACACCTTTATAAAATCCCACAAGTGGAGCTAAGTCTCTGGGATCATCGGCTAACATACCCATAATCCAGCTGGGTATCAGAAATAGCAAAAAGCGTTGAGAGTTCTTGAAAATCAGTCCTTGAAGGAACTAAGGCTATGCGATTTGCAGATGGAAGGAATAAAGAAACTAAACTATGCGTATGTTTGCCACATTGAATCGGTGATACCTATTTGATCAACCAATGTTCAAGAGAATTAGCTCGATTTTTTTCCCGTTAAGAACAACTACGATTTTGAATGTTCGTATGAGAGCACAAAGAAAAGTATGAGAATTAATGGAGGACCAGAGAGGAAAAAAGAGGGAGTGACGAACCGTAAAAGATATAGATCCAGACCCTACCCAAGTACCCGGAATCGTTCCAATCCATCTTAATATCCACCGATCCACGCTCATAATCCTTCTGAACAGTCCAACCAAAACCCCAGACGAGAAAGATAACCGTTGTTAGGATGATCCAGCCTAGACATGCCCGCTGTTGACGATTGAACACCTTCTGAAAATCTAGTAACAGGCCAAATAGGCCTGAGCCGAATATCTGTGATAACCAGTATAGTAGAGCATTTAACGATCGCGTTCGTAGGTTGAAGAGCGCTAGATTATAATCGTTGAATTGATAGGTATAGAACCTGTTGTTCACTCATTCATATAACCAATTGGAAAATTTGATTTAGATTTTTTCGTTTATGGAAGAGGGGAAAACCAATTTTGACAGTTTTTCTGAGGTGTACTGACCAGTTACTAGCCCAGAAGAATGGAAAGAGAAGGAGGATTGTGGGGTCTTGAGTCAAAGTTCTAAGCATATTCCGGAGTTCATGTTTCCAGCTAGGATTGCGTTCGATTGTGACGAGAGAGCCGTCGGTACGAGTGATGGAAGAAGGAGGGGCGAGGGTGAAGGTGAGGAAAGTGCCGATGAGAGTGATGATCAAGAAGCCGATATAAACCCCATTGGAGACCGAACTATCCTACAAATATTATCATGTTATAACCCCCAAAAATCAGCACTTTGTTCAATCAACTGTGATCAGATTATGGGCTCAATCTCTCGTCACTATTTTCCTTCCTAGTTCGTCTAATGTTCACTCAACTGTTGTATCGTTGTAATTCTTACCTAGGGCCACCGCTTCACCCAGTACTGCACCTTGTTTTCCAAATCAAAAAAAAATTGTCAGGTGTTTTGTAGGTATGGTGAAAAAAAAAAGTCAAATCAATCGGTCGCGATCCGAAAGAAAGAAACACACACCTAGATTGAAGATGATCCAGAAGGAGGCAATGTATCTTCCTTTTGTTGCCTCCGTAGCATATGCCAGCATCAGCGACCCTTGAGCGGTCCATAACAATCCAGCACAAACACCCAGTAGAGCTCCTGCTGCTATCACAAATCCACTTGAAAATGTCGAGTTTTAATACAGTCAAAATGTGATACTGGTAAAATGTCAAAAAGGATGACAAAAATTAACGGACCTGTTTTGGTTGATGTTATACGAAAGATAAGAGCCTATAAATAATGTATACCCGACTGATCTTGTTGACCAAACAAAATCAACCATTCAAAAAAAGCATCAAGGTAAGTTAATGGAGAGCAAGAAGTGCAATTTTTTTACAGTCAAGATATTTACTCAAAAATGAGAGAGCAAAGAGACATATGTACCCTATTGATAATGAAAGTCTCGGTCCAAGTTTGTTGACGATACTACCAGACAAAAAAGCAGTAGTTGCAAAGGTCGAATATAGTGCTACATTGGCTGTTGTTTTTCATATTTACCCAAAGCAAAAACGGAAAAAACTCAGAATGATGTGACTCTCTTCTAATGCAAACCTACTGCCCAAAACCAACAAAGAGATATGATATGATGTGATAGGAAGGTGAAGGAGAAGACTCGCCATTATCTGCAGCGGTTGGATTTATTTGACCTCCGCCTCCAAGACCACTTAGCGCATTGAACATTCCTGCAAAGAAAAGGAAAACACAACAGAAGATAAGATTTTAGATTAAATCAAGACCATCAAGGGTTGAGTCTTTTTTTTGGAGGGGTGCCAGGGAAAAAAAGAGAGAAAGAGATAAGATACCTGGACAACAGAAGCAGACCAATGAGATAATGACGACCTGGATAAACGGACGACGTAAGAGAGCGAGAGGAAGGAAGGGAGTGTGAGGGATAGCGAGAGTGAGTTCTTCATGATGGATGGCCTGATCTTCTTGTCCCGAGGTAGTAAGATTTGGTTGAGGTATGGGCGAATGGACGGTGGTATCGGTGTTGGCTTGGGTCATGATGATATTCTACTGTAAGTCTTGCCTCAACTCTTTCTCTCGTTGACCACGGACTCTGTATGTATTGGCCGTCGATTACTACAATAATGTGTGTGGGGGGACTGATGTCGGGCTGCGTTATCTCCCTCTGGCGAGTCAAGAAATGATAGGGAAAAAAATCTTCGAGAGTCACTGCCAGTTTATTCCAGTATCTTCAGGATCTTCAAGCTGGCTTTTTCTCTCCAATCGTGAATTGTAAGAGAAATGTTTCAGCTGGCAAAGTCTTCTTAGGTGATCAAAGGGTGGATTCCGCCAAACTGTTAAGCAAGGGATGCCGTCGGTGCTAGGAAGGGGCTGATACGAGAGCTGCGGGTAGGATTTGTACCAAAGTCGTCTCCGCGTACTTTTCCTTTGGAGCGAGTGGATAACAAGGAAGAAGCAATGTTTTTTTGTGTTTGTCTATACTATTGCAGAAGTGTATAATCTCGTGCTAGAGCTGTCTCCTTAAAAAGAGTCTGGAGTCTTTCATGGATCGAGAGAGGGGTAGTACACACATTCACACCGGATTTATAGTGGACGGAGATTCAAAAGAGGCAGAAGAGATCGGCAGTCATCCGCTCAGCCCAAGCAATCTACAAGCATCTTCTGTTTTGTTTATGTTAAGTGACTGCCGGCGCATTCACCAGATTCTCAAGCTTCGAGGTAATTTGTTGTATTAATAATTGTACCATCTTGCAGTTAATCAGCTCAGATGGAACGTTCGGGGAGAACTCTGAACACATTTATTTAAGCTTTCTGAGTTGGCATGTGCTTCTGGAAAATCTTGTGCAAATCGGCAAAGGACTGGGCATCTGTATGTATCTACAGGAAACATTCAGCAAGTTCAGGTTTTGAGATCCTCAAAATCTTGGGGGATGGGAGTTATACTCATGTAGAGTGAAAGATCTATTAGTCCATCATGCATGTGGAGAGGTGCCAATGATATGTAAAAAGAAATGATGAAGGTGAAAAAAGTAAGAGCATCTCTAACGGTCTGGGGGTGGATCAGCTCGACTTCAGCAGCCCGGGAGTAGATGTCCCAAGATGTCACCCACATGTCACAACAGTCCAAAATATGGACTGTGGATGTGGGCAGGGGTGGATTGATCGTGACGCCCCTTCCTTCAAGCACGACCAGCCATTTCTGTACACACCGCATCGCAAACAGATCCAAAGTTTCATTTCATTTCGACCCTCGACCCTCGTATTTGCCGACCGACCCTCGTATTTGCAATGGATCCAATCAAGATCATGGATTTGATTGAGGACGACGATGAGATACTAGCTTCCCTCTCAACCTCAATTGCACTAGTTATCAGAAGAATGAACGCAAAACCAAAGCGTGGTGGATCAACGATGGGGCGCCGAGAAATATATCGCAACCGGCTTCAAGGCGATCACATGCTCTACAACGACTATTTTTCCGAAAACCCAACCTATCCAGACTATTTATTTCGCCGACGCTTCAGGATGCAACGGCCGCTTTATCTTAAAATTGTTGAGGCTGTCTCCCAGGAGGATGACTATTTTATTCAAAAAAGGGACGCTGCTGGTCGGTTGGGTTTTTCGCCATTACAGAAGATCACAGCAGCATTTCGATTGTTGGCTTACGGATGCAGCGCTGATTCCATCGACGAATACCTGAGAATCAGTCAGTATTTCAACTGTTTTCAAATATTGTTTCTCTGACTTTTCACTCATAATTCTTCTGTTCCAACACAGGTGAAAGTACTGCGCTGGAAAGTCTCAAACACTTCTGCTCGGCTTTGGTCAAAGTCTATGCCGAGGAATACCTTCGAAGCCCAAACGAAAACGATATTGCGAAGATTCTTGCCGTCTCGGAAAAGCGAGGATTTCCAGGTATGATGGGCTCGCTGGACTGTATGCATTGGGGTTGGAAGAATTGCCCCGTTGCAGACCACGGTCAGTACAGCGGCAAGGAAAAGGAGCCGACGGTAATTCTTGAAGCAGTTGCAACCCACAATCTGTGGATCTGGCACGCGTTTTTTGGCCTCCCTGGAACTCTAAATGATATCAATGTCCTGGATCGATCTCCGATATTTCAGCAATGCCAAGATGGAGTAAACCCATCATTCCAGTATACAGTGAACGGCAACATATACAACATCGGCTACTATCTCACCAATGGTATTTATCCAAAATACGCGACTCTCATGCAGTCTATTTCGAATCCACAAGGAAAAAAAATCGACATTATGCGAAGATGCAGGAAGCTTATCAAAAAGATGTTGAACGCGCGTTCGGTGTGCTACAAGCACGCTACGCTATCATCCGCTTCCCCGGCCGCTTATGGAAACACCCAGATCTATGTATCATTATGAAGACAGTGATCATTCTCCACAACATGACGGTGGAGGATGAGGCTGGTTCCGATTTTGAAGAGGATTTCGACTACGATCAAAATGCTCGCACTCAATCTACAATTGCACGAGATAACTCACCTAATGACGACTTCGACTCGTTTCTCTTGCGTTATCATGGAATCCGAGACATTCATGTTCATAACCGATTGAAGGCAGACCTCGTTGAACACCTCTGGAGCAAGTTAGGTCGCAACGATTTGGAATCCGAGGAAACGGAGGCTTAATTTTCATATCATTTATTTTTAATGTTCCTTCTCTCATGTTTGTCTTCTTTATCTTCTATCTTATACATGAACGATCTTGTTTTCTCTCGACCTTCTCAAAATGCTTTCTCTCAAACTTCTCACTAGGTTGCAATAATATCTGTTATTTCATTTTTTATTCTGAGAAAAAAGATTCACATCAATCTGAGAAATGAGAATCACATTGATCTGAAAAAGAATGATCACATTGATCTGAGAAAAAAGCATCACATCAATATGATCAAAAAGGATTGCATTGATATTAGAAGATATATCATCGCATTGTGTGTTTTTGGATTGCAAAAGACTTGAAAAGATGACAGTATAGGGTGTGTAGAAAGGAGGCTAGAAAGATTGTGTAGAAAGCAGGCAAGAGTGAGGACAGCGAAAACATGAACTACTCCGGACAAAGTTAGCTACAACAAACGAGAACTACTACTACTCTGGTCGATCCAAAATAGCCCGCCTTTTCTTTTGCCAGTACGCTTTCGCTTCGTCATCCATGCCAGTGAGATCCATCGCCATGATGCGATCGTCAGCCTCTAACTTCTTTGCCTCCGACGCCTCCTCCAATGCTTTTTGAACGGATGCCGAGCGCTCCTTAGATATCTTGACCAACTCTTCCTGTGTCTTGATGATCTTCTGCAACATCGCATCCTCGTCTCTCTTCCTTTTGGCCGCTTTGTTGCCCTCCATACGTGTGTCAGAACCCAGGGCACTACGATCGTCTTCCTCATCTGGTTGAGTGCCTGTTTGAGGACTTGAGGGCAAAGCCTCATCGGTTGCAGGGGTGCTACTTGGCGGTTCTTTGGATTTTTTCTGTCGGAGATTGATCTCTTGCTGGGTTGCCTGCCATTTTGGGTGTTCTCTCAAAATGCCCCAGCAGTGATCGAGATTGAAATTCGACTCGTTCTTGGATTTATACAGTTCCTTCGCCTTGCAAAGCTGAGAGGAAACAAAGAAATAAGTACTGTTATTCCTATATAAAATGAAAACACCAAGCTTACGATATCATCTCGACTCATCCCACTCCTCATTCGACGTTCAACTTGCGAATAGCATCCACCAAACTTGTTGCAGACTCTCATAATATGACCCCAACGACATTCGACCGCATTGACGAGTCGAATTGGCAAAGGTTTGATCGTTCTTGAGTTTTTGTTTTCCTTGTTGTAATCGACGACCAGATCGGTATAAAGCTGGTGAACCCGTTCCCAAAACGTCCCAGCTTTCTGACCGGTCCCGACGATACTGTCTCGGCTAGTGTTCAACCAAGCAGCACAAAGCTGTTTATCTTCCTCGATTGACCACTTCGGAGCCTTCTTCTTAGGAGCTTCGTCAGTCTCATCGGGTATTTCAGTTGAAGGGGCTGGTTGGGGAACCGGGGTTGTATGGGGATCAGGTTGACTCGGCATCAAAGGAGTTCTTGCGGGCACAGAGCCAGTGGGGGTTGCATGGGGATCCGGATGAGCCGTTCTCATCGTACGAGTATTCGCGGTCGGGGTGGTTTGGTTGATTTCCATGAGGAGTGGATCGAGGACTACCCTTTTGGGGGGCATGGTATTGGGATATGTGGTATTGTTGTGTTGATATCGAGAAGTGCAAGTGCATAAAAAAAGGGGATATTGGACGACGGATGGACCAAAAGGGAGCTATGGCAGCTTGGAGGATGGGATGCCAAAGCTGCCAAAAGTAGCAGCCGAGGGCAGCTTTGGTCCACCCCCGGAGCCATCAGCAGCTTGCTCAGCATGGCCGCTAGAGGCCAAAAAAGGCTTGCGGCCTGCTGAAGTTGGTCCCAGGTCCCGCATCAGCAGGACCGTTAGAGATGCTCTAACTGAACTGATCAGGTCAAAGGGAAATCAGCCTTGGTTGAATCCTTCATTTCTGACAAGCTTAATGAACACCTATGGATTTGACATATTTAAGATTGGGGGGATAGTGTCTGACATGGATAAAACATAAGAAACACGGCTACATAGTAAAGAGCAAACTTAACCCAAGTCCCAATTCCCTGCTGTGGGCGGCATTGGCATGCGAGTGGCCTCGCCACTGTCGCATTGCGCCGACCGCAGGGAGGCAGAGACCCTGCGGGGCTGCCCTCCGGGCTCTCACTCAGAGGCTTGTGTTAGGCTCGAGTAAAGAGTGGTTAGACAAACAGGTGAAACTACTCCTTGGAAAAACCTTTGGCTGATTCCAGAGCCCACTCAGTTATCAATGTAGCCAAACAAGCACCAAACAATGGAGGGAAAAGAAAAACACCAGACACAATTACCAGATGCTTATACAATTTTACTCATACCTAATCTGCTCATGAAAGACCCTCTTCCTATAACTCCAAAAGTTACCCCAAGTTCTCTTTCAACCCTCATCTACCATATGCAGTTTTGGCACACTTCAGTCTAAAATCTCATCTTATCATAACACCATAGTCCTACTACATTATATTTCTCTTCCAGATAATCCTTCTATCTGGCAAAATTTTTATTATTGCCTGCTGTCCCAGTTGATCTTTGCTTCTCACTGCAGATTGATGTTTCAAATTGGATCATATTGCTTCAAGAATAGAAGGAGTTAGATTAAGACTTTAAGTCATCTTTCCCCCCAAAACATCGTCCGGAATTTTCTGCCTATAAGAATCCACTTAACAAAAAATTCTTATTTCAAACAAAACATGAGCTTAAACTCAAAAATTAAATTCTCTCTTTGCTTTTGAAGTTGGAGTTGATAAGTTTTTTTTATAAAAATCCTGCAGTGTTTGTGTAGAGATAATTTGAACTATTCATTTTGTTCACTTTTTTGCCTTATTTGTTACACTTGTCAGCCACAGCTTGTTGGAGCCTTATTGCTGAATTTGGGTATAATTATGGTGTTTGAATTTGAATATGTGAAATATTAAGCATGCATATTTCATAAATAATCAAATTTTTGTTGGCAGGAAACCTCCTGATTACATATAAGGTTGTAAAGAATCCCTGTAAACAAGACTTGGTCATTTATGAGATAGGCATGTATAGTTGTTTGTATATTAAACTTTGAACACCATAACTTTCTGTAGTGTGAGTGAGTTGAGAAGGATGAATATTTCTCTTGGTCCATTTTCTCCAAACAATATTTCATTGATTTTGAGTTCCTGGTCCTGATCCATCTGTATATTTATAATCTGAGCCTTCCATAGTTCAGTATATTCTGGGCATCCTGAACCTTCAATAGACCAATATTCCTCAACAACAAAGCAATTCATGGGTATCTCATCACCTTTCTTTGCTCTAGATCAAAACTTAGGAAGTGCTACTTTCAGGTGATGAAAAACCATCTTCCTTGATTATTTATGCAGTTGAACTTGAAGAAATACATCAGCTGAGGAAAACAAAAATAAAAAGGGTTTTTATGAAAATATATTCTTACTTTTAAGGTTGAACCAAGGAATCCTTTCTAATTTACATTGCTTTGATTGTGCAGAATCAAACATAGTCAAATAATAAAATCAATTCACATAAAATCCACAAGATAAAACCAGACAGATGGCACAATGGATTTGACATTCAGAAGAATTGTAACTTGGATTGAAGAATTATCAAACAGCAATGAGCGAAAAACAAAAAGTGGTCTGGATTCCAAGGAGACCTGACTATCACCAAATATAAGATCACTTTGATTTCAAAGTGAATTCAAAAAGTTGATTCCTGCGGGGGGGGGGGGTGTTAGCCTAGATCCATGTTTCCCCTTGTTCTGTTCCTGTGGCCAGTCACTTCTTGTAGTAAATGTCTTGTGAAGGACGGTGTTCTCTGGAGCATATTTGTTGAACAACCCAAGCGTTGTAGCCACATTTAGGTTCAGTGCACAGATAAGTTTCAACCATGACAGTTTCCATGCAGGATATTACAGGATTCCATAGCACCCCACATGTCATCTCGCGAAGTGGGTCCTTAAGTGGAACGAGCGTTCTCCTCTCGCCTATTTGAAAACCCTTCTCAATACAATTCACACATTTTTTGGTTCTATTTCCCTGCGTGAGCCTGTACGGGCGGAGCATGAGGAGTGTAGAAATAACGACCAGATGGATAGGATGAAGGTTTCGCATGATGATATTGACTTGTGCCTGGGAGGGAACCGTTTGTTGATTACAAGGTTCGATCTTGGTACCTCAGCCTGTGCAGTGTCTGACGATGAAATGAGGGCAGCTTTTGAAGGGAAGTGGGTTGACCGCTATGCTAGCTAGGCATGGTAGACGAGTGACCTGTATTATTTATAAAGGCTTGGTTTGATATTCTGAATTTCAATGAAGTTAAACTCAATTGTGTGCTGGCACCTACCTACCCGGGGCCCCCGTGAGCATATCTGGCACAACTAAACTGGCCGTCAAAGTTATAGGTTATAGTATTTGGGCCAGGTGTTCAACAGGATGCACAAGCCCAAAATTCCTGAAATTTTCCCATTAGGGCCAGCAGCTACCTGTTTTTTGCGCACCCAGGAGCTCTGAGAATCAAGATAGTAAGAGGGATCAAAACAAAAGTCAAATTGATGGCATTGGCAATTTCTGTGTAATATGGGTCAACTCTGTCCTGAGGGGGAAACTTCCTGGATGACTATCAAAGTATCCTGAATGAAGACCCCATTGGATCAAATTTCAAGAGAAGTAAAATGCAGTGTTTCTAGTTTGCATATCTCTCAGCATTATTTTAATTTCCTGACATTAATGGTGGCATAATTCCAAATGGTACCACAACACAAGGACATAGCCCCAATTGTTGGGGTTTGGAGGTGGGCTTTGATCAAGAAAAGGAAGTACAGATCTTGAATCAAATGTAGTTGAGTAGGGGCAAACAAAAGGATCACATTATAAACTGTGGGCATGTAGGGCTTCAATTTGAAAAATGGCAGAAACAGTGGGTCAGTTATGATAATTTTAGTGTTAGTGTAGCATATTGCAGTGGGATTCTGCTAAAATTTAGTGTAGCATAGCAGATTTTTGCCTCAACCATGATCACACCACGCGTGCAGGCCCCCAAAAAGTGCCCACTATGCTGAGCTAATGCACTTGTTAGGGGCATTTTGGCCCTGGAGAGGCCATTAGTGGCCCATAGTACAGCATAGCATAGCAAAAAACCACTAACTTTTTACTGACACTGCACAATTTCTGCACACAAAAAAAAAACTATTACACCAACACTTTTGAGCAAAAATTGTAGTGTGGCAGCCCATTGTTGATGACAGAGATACTCACAAAATTAAAAGCAGAAATGTTCAAGTCAATAATTCTAAGTGGGTTCTGACCCTGGATGACCAGCTGTATTTTTGTAATTTGTTTCAAACTTGGTAGCTCTATCTGAGAAAATTTGAAGAACTTGCTCATCTTGTTTGCTGATGAAGGTGGCTTTCTTTGTACAGAAAAAAAGCTTCAAGGTGGGGTCAAGGACCATAGCACAAACTTAAGCTGGCTTTGTGAGTGTGTTGAGAATATAGAAATCCACTTTTCTGATCACTTTCCCAGCTGGTTCAATGAGTTGAGACTGGTCATAGAGATCATTCTTAGCAAATTTCAGATCTTTCATGAAGACCATGAAGACTGGTAAGGCCGTGTTCAAATTTGGATACTGTGTTCCATAGAGACTTTCAGTTGAATTTCTGAGTGGTGCAAGGAAAGACATCAAATTTTTGGATTGAGTCTCCCACCCAAAAAAAAAATCAATTGGGAGGTTGACTCCCAATCCCCCAGGGGAGATTAGAAAGATGACTCCTGTCCAACGACCCCTCGACCAAAATGGGAGTTGTCGGCAAATTTTTGGGAGTTGTTTTTCCAACCCCCTTATTAAATTGGGCTATGAAACCAAAAAATTATGAAATATCTACACTTATACCCTCAAATTTGCATCTTGCCAAACCTGAATGTGAGGCAGCTATAAGTGATATGACTTTCTTTGTGAACTGGAGCTGTACTGTTTCCCAAATTCAAATTTGTTTTCAGATAGATGACTTCCAACACAGAAGCTTTGCTGTTCTGAATAGCAAATAAAGTTTAGGATTCATCTTTAGATCAGAGCTATATTAAGAAAAATCAGGACCAACAAGGAGCCATCTATCTCCTGAAAAAAATACCTTCCTGAAGTGCAGTGGGCAGCTACTAATGAGGTGCTTACCATAGCATTTTAAAAAATCTGAATCACGCTCCATTTTGGGGACTTCAAGGCTCATATTGGTCCTCTCCCAAAGCACTTATATGTAGTCCATTCTTTGGAAGTAAACGGAAGCCAATAATTTTTCTGCTTTCTTTTCTGAGAAGTGTGTTATTAACAATTATTAATTACAATGAACTTAATCTTAAAGTTTGGGATATAACAATGGTATTCCAGTCACACCAACTTTACTTTTGAGCTGATAACACCAACAGTGTGTTTTTTTCATCAAATATAGGGTTAACACTAATGGCTGCAGCCATAATACTGGTTAGCAGCCTTTCGGCCCTGTAGCACCAAATACAGTTGCAGGCAGCATAGACCAACCCAGGATTTTTTGGTTGTCCAAATTGGTGAGCTAAAAAGCAGGATTTTTTGTTTTTCTCAGACTACTAAGTTTTAGGCTTTCTTTAGCCTTCGAAATGCTTGGAACATACTGTAAAGCATTCACTAATGGCAATTCATATGGTAAATGATCAAGGTGGCAAAGCCACCCACAGAGTGTTGAAATCACAGAGAATATGCTGTTCTAAGTGATTCTTACTTCTCTTTTTTTTTTTCTTGAACAAATGTAGTAGCCCACTGCTGATACATAGAGCCACCTGGATCAGGGAAGATTCAGACAAAACAAATGACTTTCAGAACTATCAGAGGAATTGCCATGAACTGGGCTATAATTAGCCAATGACCCACTTTGATCAATTTCACACAAATGCCCTCTTAGAGAAAACACTTGTATGTACATACACACCAATCAAAGGGTTCTTATCTGTATATGTGTCATACCAACAATTCTGGAAGAGATACAACACATGGCTTGTATTATCTACCATTCAACCAATAAAAATGGCCAGCGACAACATGTGTCCAATTCAAATACACAGGTCAGCAAGGATTGTGCATCTACTGTGACAATGGAACATGCCAATCCATTGTAAATGCCACTTCTGTTTCCATGTTTGTTTCACCATTAATACCAAGAAGGATTGAAGCAGAATGTCCAGATGAACCATAATTAACTGTTCTATCCTTTTCCTCAATCCCGCCACTTCTCCCTCTCTTCCCTCGTATGGACTCCTTCTTTTTGCTTTCACCTTCTAACAAAGATGGAAGACCTTCTAACAGGAAATAAAAAAAGGTTCCTTGGATAAATTTTCCTACTTTTTCTGTTTCAAATTTGATTGCATTACAAAAAACACACAAGGGAAAATAGAAAGAAGAAATGTTAAGAAGAGGAAGACGGAAAATGAAGAAAGGATGGTAAGAAGTCAATAATAATATAGTTGAAAATGTTATTCATCGATCAACCTACAAAAAGATAACAGGACAGAAGGGATGAGTGATGCATTCAAGACACTTTTGAGCCCAGAAAAAAAAGGAACGTACTTCTCCAAACACCAAATCCATCGTTCCAATGATCGCAACCATACTACCAAAGAAAAGAAAAGAAAAAAAAAGGCAAAAAAGGTCAGATAAAATAAACACGAGAATCAGGAAGGAGTTTCATCGGAAGATAAAGGAAAGGAAAGGGTAATTTACTCGGGCAAGAAGTGGTGTCGGGACATGAAGTCAGCGCCAGCTAGATGAGCGAAACCAGGGGCCCGGATACCTACGCGAGAAATAAGCAAGACCAAAAAAGTCAGAGACAGAGGGAGAGTGGGGGGGGGGGGGGGTTCTAAAGAGGATGAAAGATATAAAAAGGAAGGATGAACTTACGACAACGATAAGGACGATTCGAGCCATCGCTGACGAGATAGACACCCATCTCACCCTTAGGTGCCTCAATAGCCGAATAAGTCTCCCCCGGAGGAACATTGTAGCCTTCAGAAAAGAGCTTGAAATGGTGGATTAATGCTTCCATTGACTCTTTCATCGTCGCTCTTGGTGGTGGTGTTAGTTTGTAATCGTCTACTTTGATTTGTCCTGCTGGCATCTTATTCAAACATTGACTATGCCCCCCACCAAAAAAAAATCAGTATGTGCGTTGACTCCATAAATGGAAGGGGGACTTACTGAATGATCCTTAAAGATTGACGAAATTCTTCGGTTCGACACAAATAACGATCATAACAATCGCCATTTTTACCGACAGGGACGTCGAACTCAACCTGATCGTAAGCGTCGTAGGGTTGACTTTTACGGATGTCCCATGGGACACCCGAGCCTCTCAACATGACGCCCGAGAAGCCGTAATTGAGAGCATCGTTGACCGAGACCTTGCCGATCCCGATCGTCCGTTCCTTCCAGATCCTGTTCTCCGTCAAAACCTCCTCAAATTCATCCACTCGATCCGAGAACGCCGTCGCCCATATGTAGATGTCGTCTAGTAAGCCGTGCGGTAGGTCGAACGCGACCCCTCCCGGTCGCACATATGCCGCATGTAATCTCGCCCCCGACACTCGCTCATAAAACTCCATCAGCTTTTCTCGCTCCTCGAAACCCCATAAGAATGGTGTCAATGCTCCAACATCTATAAAACAACAATTTCATCAACATCCTTTTTTTTTCTTTTTCAGTCTTCAAAAAAAGGAAACGAAAAAAAAAAAAAGAATTACCCATTGCATGAGTTAGAATGGCCATAAGATGGTTGAGGATTCGAGTGATTTCACCAAACATGGTTCGGATCCATTTCGCGCGATCAGGTACCTCGATATTCAACAGCTTTTCGACTGCTCTAGAGTAACATAACTCATTGGTCATCATTGATACGTAATCCAATCGATCGAAATATGGTAAGGCTTGTGTATAATTCTTTTTTTTTTCATATCAAACAACGAAGAATTATTAGTTTTTTTTTGGTTTTTGTGGGGAAAGAAGGGGTAAAATACTTTATATTCGATTAGTTTTTCGGTACCGCGATGTAGCAATCCGATGTGAGGATCTGCACGTAAGATCTCTTCCCCATTCATTTCCAAGATCATTCTTAATACACCATGAGCGGCAGGATGTTGAGGACCAAAGTTCACTAATCAAACCAAAGCAAAAAAAAAACAGTCGATCAGCCTCTTTTTTGAGAAAGAATTTGACTCTCAGTTCAGAAAGAAGGAAGGATGGAGGAGATACGGACCTGTGAAATGTCTCATAGTTCCGTGTTTTTTACCCTGCCCTTCGGCGAGGATGGATTCGGCGGATTGGCCATGCAAGTCTTCGACCACATTGGGCAAGTTGGTAGTAAGAGGAGGGTTATTAGGGATTGACGAGGAGGCTGATGATTGGCTGGAGCTCGAGAGGGACGATCGGTGCGACTGATGATGGCTTGGTCCTCCTGATGGGCTCGATCGGAGTAGTGAGAGTGCAGGGGTGTTACTGCTCTGGGTGATTCTTGAGAGTGTTGATATGAGTGGTCGTTTGATGGTTGTCGAGAGCATCGTATCTCTTCCCTTTTTTGTTTTTTTTTGGTTTTTGGTTTTTGTTGATTGTAGTAAGATGGGGAAGTTGGCTGATGGTGGTAATCTGCTTGAGCCTGATTGGTCTGACATCGGCTCAACACGGGGGCCCCAGGGGAGAGGGGCTTGAGCCTAGACTGCCCAAAAAGGGGGCTCCCTTCCAAACGGATCGAATAATGCAGAACCCCCATTGAAGGAAGGGGAAGGCGATAAAGAAGACATGCTCACTCGAGTCGAATTCAACCAGGGATCACAACGATTCATCAACAACAGCACCGATACACCGAACAGATGCAACAGAGGTTGGAAGTGGAAGCAATACCAGAACAGAACAGTTAAGTGACAATCAACAACAAAACACAAAGACAGCCAAAAAGATCTGACTTCAGATAACGAATCTCTGAAACAGTCGAGAATAATCATCGAACAGGATCTAGGATGCTTGTATCATGAGCCGGTCGATCGGAGGTTATTCATCAACACACAGGATTCAGAAAAATGTAAAGAAGAAGAAGAAGGCATAGTACATGAGCAAGAGGACGAGGCGGCCACGATCAGGATACCAGATTGTCGCCCCTATGTGCCGATCAAATACCAAGCTTCGGTGGTCTTTTCAGATACTTATCGGGTGCCTCAACTGCTCTTTCAAGCCTACAAACCAGGTAGGTCCTTTTCCTTCTCTTTCGAAGACGACGTGGAAAGAAGGGGGACTCATGATGTTATGACGGAAATAAAACTAAAATAGATGGGACTCAACTGAATTTGGACGAGTTGATCCATACGGATATCTTTTATGGAGACTCGCTGGAGTATCCGATGAATCTGATCAAATCCAGTACTTCATCATCAAAAGAAGATAAAGATAAAGAGGAGGAGGAGGAGGAGGAGGAAGGGAAGAGAGTACAATTACCAATCCTGACAAGGACCATCCATCCAATTGACAACCAAACTTATTGGGGCCTGCATCCTTGCAACACTCAAACCATCTTGAAGGAGATCCTAGAAGAAGAGCACAGGAATCACCCCAAGAAGCTTCCTCCTCAGTTGGTCATTGAATCCTTCTTTGCTCTTGTCTCCAGTAAAATCAGACCTCCTCAACACTGCCTGCTCTGACTTTTTCTTTTTTCTTTTTTAATTCTAAACTCTTATGGATTACATTTGAATTGGTTTCTTGCAGTATATCTTCCTGCATTTGTTGTTTCTTATTTTCCCATCACTTTGTGTTTTTTTAAACTCTTATGAATTACATTGGAATTGGTTTCTTGTAATGCTACTTGTAGTATATCTTCCTGCATTTGCCATTTCTTATTTTATCATCACTTCTTTGTGTTGTAGAAAATCCTCTGGTTACCAAGGCTATGCTGCTGGGTTTATGTATCTTGAGCCAGGAGATTGCAAAAGTGAAAGAGGTTTGAGCAAGAATGTGGTCCACTACTGAGGATTTTCCTTCTGGCTCCAGGATGGTTTGAGAGTGAACACTGTCTACAAATAAGATCTAATGGGGCTTGTCTCATCAAAGGGATTTGTTCTTCCAACAGGAACTGTCTCATCTCCGCTGGCACATTTAACTGCAGGTTGTGACATCCCTAATCAAGTCAGGCTGCCTTGATCTTACTTGAGTTAAGAGTTTGTAAAGATGTAAGTGTTGAGGGGAGATCCTGTATTACTTTTGGGCTGGACTTCAGCAAAACTGGACATAACCTGAATGTTTGTTTTAGTATCAAAGGAATTGATTACCTATTTCCTCACTTCTCCTGCAAAATAAAAAACATAAATCAGTTATTACAAAGCAATTTTCACAATCAAGCATGGGCCTCTTCAGAGTATGTGCCATAGTACTTTTAGTCTTGGTTAGTATCTTTTGAAACTTCATCCAATGACTGAGGTAGAACTGAATTCTTACAAGAAAATGTGGTTTAATGCAGCTAGGGACCAGCTTGGAAACAATCATTCCAGAATTCCCAGAGGGAACTGGGTTTTGCAAAAGCATCTCTGGCTTGAGAAATCAAGAGTTAAAATCCCTGGAAGGTGAAGAGACTTCAATAAACCCACTGGCACCAGGGTGTGAAGGCACTCACTCTTCAGGTCATGATGTGAGTGCCTACATTGCATCATGTTCAAAGTATTCAATTTGACATCTCCTTTGCATATATATTTAGTGGGAGGGCACTTGTGATTGCCATCCAGAACTTGGAATGGACCTTGCAACAAGCTCTTCTTCTCTGAGGGAACTAAGCAAATTATCAGAAGAAGAAAACAAGATTACAACTCCCATACCTGAAATAGATAACTGTGCAATATGTATGGAGAAGATTATTAAACCTGATGATGCCAATGTTATCTATGAATGGACAGGTTGTAAGCACGAGTATCATATGAGCTGCATCCAACCACTATTGGTTCCAGGAGGGAGATGCCCAAAATGTAGAGGAAAGTTGTCAGTAACACTTTCTGCCAGGATTTTACATGTTGGGTTTTCTATCATCAACTTCATGAAACTTTTGTGGTCTCAATTTGATTTGAACAGTGAATTTGGTTGTCTATTGTGCACATTTGCTTTTTCATTCATGAGCTTTATCCTCCTTGATTTTCTTGGCAAAATTGTTCCCTTCCTAGCCTGAAAGATTACCTCATATCTCCAATCATAATTCTTTTTCATTCCAATCAACTTTCAGCTTTTTCTTACCTGCCATCCAAGTTTTCCCCTCAGGCTTCATCATTTTCAGACTCTCATTAGATCATCAATACATTTTCTTCCTTTCCAAATGCAATATGTGTTTCTATGGAGGTACTGAACAGCCACTTTGGCCAAAAAAAAAAAACATGGGGATAATCCGCCACGCTGGCCAAGTAACCGCCAAATGACGCCCCTGAACCTCCAGAATGGCCAAATTGAAAATTGAATCCAACCGCCACATTGGCCACCCATGCTCCTGAACTGACATGATTAGCGCTGGAACCCACGGGGTACCCGGGCATTTTGGCCTTGCCCACGCCCCAACCCGAGGGTATTCCCGTCCCTCAGGTACGAAAATCAGTGAGACCGAGGCCTACCCGCGGGTATAAGGAACGGGCCACGGGTACCCGCGGGGTTGAATTTGGGCCGGGTATACCCGCTCATTGGAGGGTATACCCGCTCAGCATAGGATATATCCGCTGATACAGGGTCCCGCCTCGGAGATACCCGAGGGTACCCCGGTTTGGGGACGAGTTGAGGCCACTTGGCCCCCACTGCCCCTCCCCCAGCGCAGACGCAAGATACCTGCGGGTATCTCCAAGGCGGCCCGTTGTGGAACTGCTGAACAATCAGAAACAGAGCTTGGAGGGGAAATAGACAACTACACTACGAATAATGTAAATTAAGCTATGGGTGCTGTTGAGGCTGCCCTCCTGTACAATGCTGGAGTTGGGAAGAGTTACACTAAGAAAAAGAAGAAAGGTGTGGCTTGTATTCTAGTAATTCTTAGTGAGTTCTAGGACAGGGAGGTGTTGTCAAGGTCTAGTGATAGTACCACTGAGTGAATGAGGAGTGATGAGGAAGGAGGATTGTGGAGTGAGGATTAAGGTTCAGAGGGTATGAGCAAAATATGCAGAGGTGGTCAAGGGATAATGTGCAAAATATGCAAGGTTTCTGAGGAATGAGTGCAAAGTATGCAAGGGGTCACTAAGGGGCAAAATATGCAAAAGAGGGGGAAAGAAAATATGACTAAATTATTTCTGGCAAAGTATGCATTGATTGTTGTATGTATTGTTATCTATATTCTCCCTATGTTATGTATATGGGGGGGTAAAAGTGTAAGAGGGACTACTTATATACTCTAGGATACAAATGAGCACAGACTGTGGCAATTCTGGTTATGAGAAAGAAATGTACATATGTAGAAATAAGAGATGAGAAATGTAAACAGAAAACAAGGATGAGTAAAGGGGAACAAACCCAAAGAGGAGAAGGTCTGTGAAAGAGTGTACTACTGTTATCCTGAAGGGTACATGTGAAATAATGAGTGTAAAGAAAGTATCTGAGAAAATATCTGATATATGTAATGAGAAACAACTACTGTAAAGAATGTGGCTGATGCAATGGGAACAAATAATTGTAAATGAAAGTACTTGAGAAATATATGATGTATGAATCAAACTGTAAATAGGTACTATATGTAGCTACTGTGTAATGTAAATGTAGAGAAAAACATCTGTAAAGCTAAGAATGAAAATAACTATTGATCCAGTAAGAAATGAAATATGGCTTGAGTGAGTGACTATCTATGAAATTGGGTGTAGAATCTGAATATGTCATAATAATGAAGGAAAACCAAGTGAATATACAGTAAAATAATAGGGGCTTTGGAAAGGTATGGGTTACCACACCGTGGACCGTACCCGACCTACCCGTCGGTCTTCGGGCTCCTGAAAAGCTGTCCCGGAGCCCTAAACCGTTGGTGTACCCACCGGGTATACCCGGAGGTCCCGGGAGGGTTCCAGCGCTAGACATGATTGCTCCTGGACCAACAAAAATTGCCCTGATCTGCCAATTGTGCCATGTATCCCAAATGATGACCAAATTTGACTGTTCAAGTCATCCATGGGAGTAGGAGTACACCTCCCAATTTCCATTGATGACAAACACCCCCATCAAGCCCCAGTTTTGACCGGTCTCTGATGGGAGTAGGGGTGAGAAATGGGCGGGTTTGGTTGGACCACTAGTATTCATTTTTGACCCAAGATCCCCTTGGGTTGCTGTAAGGACTCTGTTGAGTCCCTCACTGTCTGTCCAAAAAAGCACTGGAAAAGGGGCTCAATAGCTCGAGTCCAAAGGGAAGGATTCTAGTACCAAAGTGTGTTTTATTTCAGTCTAGACAGGAGAGGAATATCTCTTGCTCAGTATCTACAAGTGTTATAAAGTAAGGAAAGGAAATGAGGAGGGAAAATAAGGAGGATTGGGTACTTAGCTGGACAGGAGAGAAATATCTCTGCTGTCTAGGTAAAGGGGAAGAGTGAGACTAAATACAAGACAGAAATGGCTTATGTAATCATGTGACATGTCTGTGTAAGCCTGTGAGGAGCAGGTCTTACAGTTGCTAGTGTCAGGTCCAACTTGCAACATCTCTCAATATAACCTGAGTCATACTAAGGTCACTTGGTTGTTAAAATTTAGAATGCATTTTTCAGACATTTAGCAGAAAATAATTGACTTGGGCAGGATTTGAACCAGCAAACTTAGCTTGAAGCTAAGACACTATACTAGAAGTGCTGCCTTTACCAACTAGGCTACCAAGTCCATGCCTGATGTGCTGATATTTAGAACACTGTGGATCACAGAAATTCAACACACCTCCTTAATTCATAGTGGGAGAACAGGAGACAGTCAATCGCCCAAACCCGTCAGCGGGTTTGGGAGTTGGATCCCCAAGAATTTTAAAAAAAAAATGAAATCCCCGGCAGGGAAGGGAGTCAATGCCCCAAAATCCACTGGGTTTTGGGGGGTTGGCAAATCAAAAACAGCCCCCAACATCCAGGAGGGAATCCTCCCAGCCATTGAGAGCACACTCTTAATTCCAACACTAAGCTTGAGGGTGTACACTCTCAACTCAGCAGTATCAAAAGTGTACACTCTTGGCCGCTGAAAGGTACCCGGCTGTTGAGGGTACCTCTCAATGGCCAAGAGAAAGCCTCTTGGCCGTTGAGGGTGCACACCTCAACGGCCAAGGGTTCACCTTGACGGCCAAGAGGTACACTCTTTGTCAGCTTGTCACTAATAAATCAGGACAATCTGACCTGTTTTAATGACTCTATTTTCCTTGTTTCATATATGTATACAAATAAATATTACTTGCATTTAAAAAGTTATAATAAAATAAAATAAAAAACTAGAATTAACCGTTGAAAAGGACCTCAGGAGCACGCGCAGGATACTCCGCAGCAGTCACAGCACTGTATTATACCGTAAGCGTCATCTACAGCGCGCGTCCTCAAAGTGTGACATCCAGTTTCACAAGATGTCACACTTCAAGGAAATACCTAGGATTGGCATTGTCAGTCATGACCTCATGACTGAACCGACACAACCACCTCAAGCCTCGGAATAGGAACTCGGCTCCCACACGCCATCGACGACGGACCCGAGGGACATAAAAGCCAGGTCAGGTCAGAGCTGAAGGAGGGATCATCAAGAATTTCACCCGTTTCTGTTTTTCATCTACGAACTCCCTTTTTTGCAACACCCACCAAACTAACAACTCTTCCTTAAATCTCTTACCACAGACAACTCGCTTATAACCATCCGCCGTCATTACAGTACCGGAAATTAAGCTAAAAGCCCCGTCTGGAAAGTCACTCGAGTACGGAGGATTAGGCCTTGTAGTAG